CCCCAGCCCAATTGCTTAATCTTTTGCATCTGTTTCTTCTTCAGAGACACCGAACTGATCTCATTGAGTCCTACATAAATGAGATAAACTACATAAAGTTCATTAAATAAGTAATCCTCACTCCTAGCTCTGTAGTTTTATTCTCATTCCCAGCTCTCCAGGTTTTTATATTTATAGTTGTCATTACTAGGTTCAAGTATTTGTTGATTCATCATGGTTGAAGTTTAATCAGTGAGAAAGATGATTATAGTAAGCCAGACCAGGACTATGGAACAAAATACTAGATAGTTACCAGGGAAAGCCAGGCATGAGGAAGAAAGGGAACAAGTCACATGGGAGTGACCTCTAATGGAACCAGTAAACAATATTTCCTGATGTGTCAGTGAGCAAGCACAGTGTGCATGGACCAGCCTGTACCCTGTGCACTACACAGGTGTGCACAAACCCTTCCCAATGGGGTTGGGATTTAATTGATGCACTCGCCAGTCGTTGTCCATTTGGTTTTATTTCTAGATACAAGATGAATTTGGAGAATGAATAATTAAAAGTGAAATAAGATGCATTTCTTAAACTACATTAGGAAAAATGTAGTGTCATTTTCTCTGTCTTAGAGTTATTGTGGCAAAGGGGCCACTGGAGAATTTTAAATATAAACTTAACCCAGACAAACATGTAGAACGAACCTAAACCTTTCAGAAGCTCCTGATTAGGGAAGAGATGACATAGAAGGGTAACATCGGTTGAACTTTCCTTAGGACGTGAGCTCTGATCTGCTTTGCCTTATAATGTGTATAAGCAAGTCAGAAAGAACTTTAATCTGACGCCTTGCAACACTGTAAATGAAGTAACATTTGACTTTGCAAATGTCTTATACCTGTAAATTATAATTTAACTGATCTGACCAACAGCCTGGGCTTGGAATTTTGAAAAATATCTTCAGGTGATCTTTTGGAAACTACTGTGTTAGGGGCTAAAATAATTGAGAAAATGAAGTATTCTACTCCAGTCATTGAAAGTTTTCTGGTTTTCTTTTGAAAAAGAGCCTATAGTTTTCCCTTAGGATTTTATTGGTTTTTTAAATGAATTTTTAAAAATTTGAGCCAACTGCACATTCATACACACTTGTGAGAAATCATCAAGTGAACCCGAGTACCTTTACCCAGTTCTCCCAGTGGTAAAGTCTTGCAAAACTTGAGTGCAGTATCACAACCTTGTCAGTCAAAATACACAAGATTTCCATCGGCATGAGCTCCTCTGGCTCAGTATCCACACCTGCTTCCACCTCCTACTCATCAGTGGTAACCCCTGGCAACCACTAATCCGTTCTCCATTTATTTTCCATTTGAAGAATGTTACATAAATGGAATCAGAAAGTAGAAACTTTGGGGATGGACTTTTTCACTCAGCATAATCCCCTTGAATTCATTAGAACGTTGTACCCATTATGAATGTGTGATCATCAGTGTCATTTTCCTGGGATCAAAATGGCCAAGATCACAATTGTTGGGTAATTACATGGTTAATTTTGTAAAGGAAAAAAAAGGTGCCCAAGTGGTTTCTAGGGTGGCCATACTAGTTTACATTCCCCAAACTTCCACTTTATAAGACTTTGATTTCTTCCACATCCTCCTTATGCTTTAGCAAAAGTTTTACTTTTGATGAGGTCAGATTTATCGTTTTTTTCCCCTTTTGTGGTTATACATTTGCTGTTAAGTCTAAGAATTCTTTCTCTAATTCTATATCCTAAAGATTTAAAAAAAATTTTTTCAAGTGGTTTATATTTTATAGAAAATATTTCATATTTTATGTTCCACTTTGGGATGATTTTTATGTGTGTGACAGTTTGGCCCAGTTTCCCTAATGCCATTTATTGAAAGACTGTCCTTCCTCTTTTGAATTACCATTTCAACACTGCCAGATACCACTTGGGCATGTTTGTGTGGTGGGTCTATTTCTTGATTCAATAAGTTCTGTTTTTGTGTCCATTTAGTTAAGAACGTATTTTTTTCCACTTGGGACTTCTTTTTTGGCCATGTTTGATTTATTGTTAACTCTGCAGATACTTTGGGCTTTTCCAATCATCTTTCTACTATTATTAGTTGTTATTATTATTATTACAGCATATTGTGTATGATTTCTATTCTTTTGAATTTATTAAGATGCATTTGATGAGCTGCAGTATGGTATAACTTAATGAATTGTGCCTATATACCTGAGAAAACTGTGTATTCTACATTGTTGGGTGAAGTATTCTATAAATGTCAATTAGATACAGTTGATTGATATTTAGTTTTCTGATTTTATGCCTGCTGGATCTGTCAATTACTGACAGAAGGATATTAACATTTCCATGGGGTAATAACAGTATTGTCTTTGGAGTTCTGTCAGTTTCTGCATCACATATTTTGAGTCTCTGTTGTTTGGTGCATTCACGTTAAGTATTGCTATGTCTTCTTGGAGAATTGACTTTATCATTGTGCAGTGCCCCTTGTCATCCTTGATACTTTTCCTTGCTCTGAAATTGTCTTTGAAATTGATACAGCTACTCTTTCTTTTGATTAATGTCAGCACAATTTACCCTTCTCCATCCCTTAATTTTACTCTGTCATTTTATACTTAAAGGGGTTTTGGTAATCAACATGTAGTTGGATCTTGTCTTTTGTCCACTCAGTCTTTGTATTTTAATTGGCACATTTGGCCATTTGCACTTAACATGATCCTTGATGCTTGGATTACTATTTACCCTATTGCAATTCTTATTCTTATTCTTCTTCTTTTTTTTTTTGGTTGCTGAATCAGTCAGCTTTTTATTTCCATTACAAAATACTTGATAGGAAAAAGAAGTGTATCTAGTTCATACTTCTGGATATCAAAGAGTGTTGTGATGCCAGTGTTTACTCAGTTCTCATGAGAGGCCCCCGTTAAGACTGGCACATCATGGTGGATGGCATCATGGTGGGACTGCCTGTGGGAACAAGAGATCACATTACCAAATTAGAAACAAGAGGTGGGGAGAGGGGAAGGAGAAAAGGGGGGGGAGGGAAGGAGGGAAGGAGAAGGGAGGGAGGAAAGAAGACTCAGGGGTCAAGCTTGCTCTTAAGGCAACTCACTCTCATGAGAACTAACTCAGGGTCCCATGAGAACCACCTTGATCCCTTCCAAGAACAGCAACCCCAGTCACTAGGCCCCACTTTTTAAGAGTCCACACCACCCCCACTTTGCCAAGCTTAGGGCCAAGCTCAAGCTTCAAACACGTGAATCCCGGGAGACAAACCACATTCAAACCACAAATGTCTTTGTCCTTTCTCTTTCTCTTTTTAACCCCTCTCTTTTTCTTTTTATATTTTAATTGAGCCTTTTATGATTCCATCCTTTCTCTTCTCCTCGAATACATTTATTTTTAATTTTTAGGCAATTTCCATTGAGTCTGAAATATAGATTATGATCAATATTCTTCCATTTTCAAATAACATTGTCCCACTTCATTGATAGTGATGGTGCTTTATAACAGAGTGCTTCCAATTCCTCTGTCCCATCCTTATCAGAATCCTGTCACCAATTTTATTTATCCCTAAGCTATAATCACCCAATACATTGTTGATACTATTATTTTGAACTTACTCATATATTATATCAATTAAGAATAAGGTAAAATATTATATTTTTTTTCAACATTTACTTATCATTTATCATAGATCAGGCACATCACCTGTATTATTTTATTTAGATTTCACACCTACAACCATAGTACATATTAATATTGTAATATTAATATTATATTACACACATTACATATTAATATCATCCATATT